AAATGAGTCAGCTCATTGTTATCTCCTGAGTTGAAGCTTAGGCATAAGAACCTACTATGTTGAACTCATGTTTCTGTGACACAGTTTGTAGTATAGTTGAAATAGATATAGTGATGACTATAGTCAAAATATCCAGTATAGCAAAAGGCATGAGCCTATGTTGAAAAGTTGGTAGATTGCCACAGTTATACTAGAGTATTAGTCTTAAATATAGTTAACGACATTACAGAACCGTAAACACTATAGGAAGTTATAAAAAATCCAGGTACTGAATCTGCATGTCCATGTGATCAAATATGGAAGGCCATTAAAATCAACTTCGTTAGTGATTTTCCTGGCACTGTAGTGTTTTATTTATCTTAAGTTAATGTATTGTTTGAAGAATGTAATTTATTCATGGGATTACTTAGAATAAATTTCTGAGCATATCAACATGATAAGACAGCTAACAGTTTGTAGTTCTTTGTGTATATTGGATGTGTACAGATAAAACAAGTCTGTGTATAGACATTTGTCGGTGATGTTTATCGTGGAATTAGTACAGATAGTCCTGTTACTATTTGCTAAGTGTTAAAGTCTCAGAGTGTTTACCAGTATGAATGAGGCTTTCTTAATAATATCAGACAACTATGACAGTTATGTACTGTAGAGCTTTCCTCCGTCTCTAATTTGCAAGTTAAACTTTTAAGACATCCTAAGAACTTAGCCATCCGTCATAATACGCCTTGGTTTATTAGTAGATGAAGCACTGAATGAGTGAATCTAGTTTTTAAAGTCCCTTATAATAATTTCACCAGAATGATGCAGCAAATAATAGTAGTTCTCAAAATATGGTAAAGAAACAAACTGTAAAAAATTTCAAGAAACTCATATTGTCAAATTTAATTTCTAATCCTAAATTACTATTACATTTTTAAAAACATGTTTTGCTTGTCTTAATATCTTCCACCACAATAAAATAATATTATAAAAATATTTAATAATAAATAAAATAGTAAACATTGCTTTGAAAATCTCAAAAGCATCATTATTGTTAATAACATTGAAACACGACCACCTGTTCCAAGTAGTGTGTACTGCAGGTGTGCCAGCTGTGTTGATTGCTATGGTATATTTTTACTATGGTAAATTTAATTTATAGTAGTGGTTGCTTTTGAGTTCTGGAACCATTAGGTGAAATTTATATGTGTATTTTTAAAAAAGCCTTACGTCTGTTTGTAAACAAGGGCGTTTTGAATAGAGAGAAAGCGGTTTGATGCTACAAATGAGATCGTAACTTCTCCACTCCTTATCACAGGCTAATCCTTCCTGGATGTGAACTGTCAGGAAACCTTGTTTTCAAAAAGATTGTTTTTCCACAAGCAGATGGCTATGTTTTGCATGAATAATCAGTACAACTTTAATATGCTGAAGCTGGTTGCTTTAAGACAGTAGATTATCCCACCTTTGTCCATGGAGTCTGTAATAATATTGCTTGTATCCAGGAGCATTCTTTTTTTTCAAGCCACTCTTAATTTTCACTTTCTGCTCTTAGTTGCCTCTTGTAAATCAGCATCTGTCAGCATTACTTGCTTAATTTTAACATTGATCTTCAAAAGCCACCCATTGTATGTATGCATACAGCACCAAAGCATTTACTGTGCATTAGTTTACATTGAAGCACAAGAGCAGAAGCAGAGAACGTAAACAAACATCTCTAATAGTGCAGACAATCATTCTTTAAGAAGTAGCCTGAATCTGTTGTTTCTTACTGATCGTATTGTAAGTGCACAGCAGGATAATTGTGAGAGTCACGTACTGTATGATGGCGAATAAACCATGTCCAAACCAGAGTGTTTATGAAAGCTGTTTCTGTGAAAACCACCCTTTTTACACTTCTCTTTTTACCCTACTGAATCAGTTAGTCAATATGTTTACAACAGAAAAAAACTTTACAAAAGGAAGCCATTCTGGTTAAAACAAATACAGTAAAGCAGAGGTGTAGCCTATAGTCATGTTAGAATTAAATGACACTAATGTGGAAATTTTTCTACTTACTAATTTGTAAGATTGTAACTGCTGCTTAAATCACATGGAAATAGTCTTTTCTAAATGCTTTCAGCATAGAAGTGTGTTATATGTTAACTTTGAAGTAATTGATTTCACTGAAAAAGATTAAATATCAAGGGTACAAGAGAGATTGCGTACTGAAAGATTTAATCTCAGAAGCAAATAAGGAGATGACATAGTGTAGCTGCACAGCCTCTAGTCACTAGCTCTGTTACCATGACAATGCTGTTTTTCGCCACACCCGGCCAGTGACTCACAGCATTGCAGCTATCTAGATTGTTTTTTTTTCATGTTCAATTTGTTAGAATATTACATGGTACTGCAATAAAAACAAAATGTGAACAATCTCGACTGTAAATTATTTTTTGGCATTTAAGATGACCTGTGACTAGTTTTCTTCCTATGGTCCTATTGCTCTTCAGCTCTATGGATACATAACTAACCTCTACTTCCCAGAACATTCTCACTCCAGGAATGGACTACACAGCCCTTCAGCACTTAGAACGCTGACATGTAAGGTTCTACTGAGTTTTTGGTGTTAGTGTTTTTCCTTCCAGAAAAAACCCTTAGCTCCCAATTGAGGTCAGACCTTGTTTTTCCCCAGGTAACTTACACTATGAGTGTCCCCATCTTGTAACCTCACGCAACCCAAGGAATAACTAATTGCAGGATTCCTTAACCTTTTGCTCATGGATTCTGAGCTCAGGGATCTTTCAAAGTCGCCTTCTGTGTACAGTGGATTTAGAACTATGAAACAATCTTCCTTCCTCACTCACCCATGGTTCACTCCCTCTAACAAATCTAAACTTCTAATGCTTTTTGTAAACAACAAAAAAAAGTTAAACTATTAAACCATCCTCTCCTGGGGAACCACAAATCTCCTTCAGGGTTTGTAACTACATTTGATGTTTCTACCCAATTCCCCTTCTGAAGTGAGAGAACACTTCCAGGTCTGTCTTCCATGGTCTTAAACCTTTTTCTGTATAATCAGTGCAGTTACTGCCTCGTAGATCCCATTTGGCCAGAACTGCTGTCCAATAACCTATACCGTATTGGTGACCCAGCCACAGCAAGAACTAAGTATGTTAGCACTTTACCAAGCAATACTCTTGGTTGCTGACAGGGGAACAACCTAGTGCCTAACCCAAAGGCACTAGGACAGCTTCAACGTGAGAACTGCTTCCTTTTTTCCAATGGGTCAGGCTGGAGCTCTTAGCTTATAGAGCAACCAAGTGACAGTTTACAACCCGAGAGCATAACCGCAGCAACTGATATAAGACTAGGATCCCACTATTGATGATACAGTCGTGGGCATTCTCTCTGTTGTTCCCTCTCTTTGCTCTCTGTCTGTACGTTCTTCTCTGTGGGATCTCCCTCTCTCAACCCATTTTGAAAATGACCAGTTAATGGACGTCAGCTGCGACAAGTGCATTCAGGTCTCACATGTATAGTAAATGTTAAAAAATAATGCTCTTAACTAGGGCTGGGCGATATGGCCAAAAACATTATCACAATAAAATATTTAATATCAGTCGATATCGATAATTATCACGATAAATGTCAAATCATTATTTCTTTCAAGTTTAAAGGCAGATTTTTTCTCCTGAGTGAAAGTTGAAGAAACCAGTTTTTGGTAAATTAAACAACTCTTTATTTTAAGAACACAACAAACACTTGCCAAACAGCAGAAACATTAAACAAATCTGAGGTAGAGAGTATTCAAGTCTTTTTTATGTCAAAATATGCATGAGTAAAATTTACAAAATAAATATCTTAACAGAAAAATTAAATACTGCAGTGTGATAAAACACACATAGAAGATGGCTCAGACAGACTGCAAAGTTTAAAGTGCTCCGTTTTGTCTGATCGTAAAAAGCCAAAATATCTCCAAATTACCGAAGTTTTGAATGACCTTTCCTGTCGACGATGTCATCGTCCTTCGAGCTGGTCGTTGGCAGCACTACATTTGCTTCAGTGTCCCTCATTTCTCCATTCTAACTACAATCCTGTCAGCCACCACCAGGTGGGTAAACAACACCACGTTAGCTGCCCGGTCTGCACTCACGCAGTATTTTGTGCGCATACGCATATCATGCGCAAAGCATATACATACAGTATATATCGAACATTTATAGAACTTTTGTTAAAATTATATAGAGGAAAATTAGATTGCGATAATTATCGTTATCGAATTATCGCCCAGCACTACTCTTAACCCACATATTCTCTTCCGATGTCTCTAATAATCCTTTTTATATGGATATGAACCTTTATATGATTCTTTAAACACCTTACCCATGCAAGCTCCCCTTGCAACTGCTGCTGTTCTGCTACAATTGTCATAATCGGGAACAATGATTAACGATATATAGTGTTGGTTAACACGCTGTAGTGAAAGTGTGCACCTGGTTTTAAGTGTATTGAAATATAATTTAATTATATTTAAATACAAAACTGAAACTGTTTTCCAATTGCCCTACTAGTGTAGTGTTCTGTTCATTGTTTCAAAATGAAATGCCATAAATGTTTTTATCTTAATTTCAAATGTTCCATTTCCAAAAGCTAGCTTTAGTTCAAAACAACAATATTCTTTCTGAGTATAACAAATATGTAGCTACTGTATGGTGACATGCACATTACAGCATCTGTGGTTTCTTTTTACCACCTGTGACAAGACCGTATAGTAACAATGATATAGCTACTATTATCCTTCATCCGTAGTTTAATGAATTCCTATATTGTGGAGAACATAGCTATTAATGAAATCTCTCTTCACATTCTGGCATTGATATCATGGTTCCTGTTTACACATCCTTTTTTTAGCAGACTATATGAATGATATATGGCTGATTTAAGAATATATGACAGACTATATGAATGATATATGCAGGAAAGCTTTGCAGATCTTCACTAGCAACCATATATTGAATTATTATTTCCCCCTTTTCCAGGATGGCACAAGACAGAGACGAGAGAGAAAGAAAACAGTCTCCTTCAGCAGCATGCCAACTGAAAAGAAGATCAGCAGTGCTAGTGACTGCATCAACTCCATGGTGGAGGGTTCGGAACTCAAAAAAGTTCGCTCCAATTCCCGTGTGTATCACAGGTACTTTCTTTTAGATGCGGATATGCAGTCGCTGAGATGGGAACCTTCCAAAAAAGAATCAGAAAAGGCAAAGATTGATATTAAATCCATTAAGGAAGTGCGAACTGGAAAGAACACCGATATTTTCAGAGCGAATGGAGTTTATGATCAAATTTCAGAAGACTGTGCATTTTCAGTCATATATGGGGAAAACTATGAATCCCTTGACTTGGTTGCTAACTCTGCAGATGTAGCAAATATCTGGGTCACTGGGCTCAGATATCTGATATCGTATGGGAAACACACTCTGAACATGATTGAGAGCAGCCAAAACAACATGAGGACTTCATGGTTGTCTGATCTCTTTGCCGAGGCAGATGTTGATGGTGTGGGTCAAATACGTTTAGGCACAGCTGTTCAGATGATTAAAAACTTAAATCCTGGACTGAAAAATGTCAAAATAGAGCTTAAGTTCAAAGAGTTTCACAAAGCTAAAGACAAAATTGGAAGTGATGTTACAAAGGAGGAGTTCATTGAAGTCTTTCATGAACTTTGCACAAGGCCAGAGATCTACTTTCTGCTAGTTCAGTTCTCAAGCAATAAGGAGTTTCTTGATACCAAGGATCTCATGATGTTTTTAGAGGCAGAACAGGGAATGGCTCATGTCAATGAAGATACCAGCCTTGAAGTGATCCAAAACTATGAACCATCAAAGGAGGGCCAGCAAAAAGGATGGCTGTCTTTAGATGGCTTTACCAGTTACCTCATGTCCCCTGAGTGCCATATATTTGATCCTGAACATAAAAAAGTATGTCAGGACATGCTTCAGCCCTTATCCCATTATTACATTAATTCATCACACAACACGTACTTAATAGAGGATCAGTTCCGTGGCCCTTCTGACATCACAGGATACATTCGCGCTCTTAAAATGGGTTGCCGGAGTGTTGAATTGGATGTCTGGGATGGCCCAGACAATGAGCCAGTCATTTACACAGGACACACGATGACATCACAGATAGTCTTCCGCAGTGTCATTGATATCATTAACAAATATGCTTTTGTGGCATCTGAGTACCCCTTAATACTTTGTTTGGAAAATCACTGTTCACTCAAGCAGCAGAAGGTCATGGTTCAACATCTGAAAAAGATTCTAGGGGATAAAATCCACACTGATTCTCCCAACATAGAAGAGAGCTATCTTCCATCGCCTGATGATCTGAAGGGCAAAATCTTATTAAAAGCCAAGAAGCTTCCACCCAACTGTGTCAACCCAGAAGGTGATGTGACCGATGAAGATGAGGGAGCAGAAATGTCTCAGAGAGTGGGTAACGAAACTGGGGAACAACAGTCTATGGTGCCACAGAAGAGATTTCAGCTTTCCAAAGACCTTTCTGACTTGGTTAGTCTCTGCAAATCAGTAGGTTTTAAGGACTTTCAGGTCTCTTTCCTGAACCAAAAATACTGGGAGATCTGCTCTTTCAATGAGGTCTTTGCTACTCGCCACGCCAGTGAGCAACCCGGGGACTTTGTCAATTACAACAAAAGGTTTCTTGCCAGAGTTTATCCAAGTCCCATGCGGATAGATTCCAGTAATATGAATCCGCAGGATTTCTGGAAATGTGGCTGCCAAATAGTGGCCATGAATTTTCAAACTCCAGGCTTGATGATGGACTTGAACATTGGGTGGTTCCGCCAAAATGGGAACTGTGGCTACGTACTACGTCCTGCAATTATGAGGGAGGAGGTGTCATATTTTAGTGCCAACACTAAAGACTCTGTTCCTGGAGTGTCTCCTCAGCTTCTTCACATTAAAATAATAAGTGGTCAGAATTTCCCCAAGCCCAAAGGCTCGGGTGCCAAGGGTGATGTAGTTGATCCTTATGTATATGTAGAAATTCATGGGATTCCAGCTGATTGTGCTGAACAACGGACAAAAACTGTCAATCAGAATGGAGACAACCCCATCTTTGATGAGAGTTTTGAGTTCCAGATTAACCTGCCTGAACTAGCAATGGTGCGTTTTGTGGTGCTAGATGACGATTACATTGGGGATGAATTTATTGGCCAGTATACAATTCCATTTGAGTGTTTACAGCCGGGCTTTCGGCACATACCTCTGCAGTCACTCACAGGGGAGGTGCTACCCCATGCCTGGCTGTTTGTGCATGTGGCCATCACCAACCGGAGAGGAGGAGGAAAGCCTCATAAGCGTGGTCTTTCTGTGCGGAAAGGGAAGAAATCCAGAGAATATGCCACCATGAGGGTTCTTGTGATTAAAGCTGTGGATGAGGTCTTCAAGACTGCTGCCCAGCCACTACGTGAAGCCACTGACCTCAGAGAGAACATGCAGGTAAGACATTCACTAAATAAACATAGTAATTAATATGTTTTTTAAACTTAAAACAAGTTTAAAATTAGGTTGTATGAGGCACCAAAGTGTATAATAGTGTGAAAGGATTTTTGAAGTAATCACTTGGGTTTTAGTTGGAAGATTTTTCTTTGCTAAAGCTATGGTACAGTTACAGCAGTTCTCAAGTTAAAAGCATTCTGTGATTCATTAAAAAAACTTTAAAAAACATTCCAAAGTTTAAATGACAGCAGTAACTTGTCAACCATTGTGTGACAGCCTTTAACTCTGTTGAAAAAGATAAGAATGATGCGTTTGTGGTTTCAGTAATGAAGTAATTTTCATAGAAATTACTATTTATCAGAGACACTTTTAGTTTCAAGTAAGAGAATGATGGTAAATTGTGTATAACCTTATTCAAAACTGTATGGTGAATCCCCCCAAATTAGTGGGTTTTCCTTTGGTTGCATTAATTGTAAACAAATCTGTTTTCAGTATTTTGACAGCTTAGTCTTTTAAGCATCTCAAACACAAAAGATTTCTATTTATAGCATCTGAAAAATAAGGACATATGGGTTTATACTTTGAATAAGGACATTATTTATTAAAAAATCAGAGGTGCAATAGCAAAATAAGATTTCCAGGTACTGATCTGCTTGGAAAAACCTCTGTCAGGATAACATTTTATCTTATTGTTACTGTCAAAATCTTGCATAGCAAGGTAAATATTGGAACATATACTGTAACAAATGTATTACTTTTTATAAGCAATGCAATGTTGTTTTTTAATGTTTGATTTTAATTCATACATCTGAGAAAGCATTTGCTTTGCATATTTACAAATATCTCCATTCTCTGACTTTGAATCACATGGGAAAACTTCAATGAAACATAACTATTTTTCAGTTGTGGTTGAAGGAAGACTTGTTCCTCTAGAAATGTAAAAGCAGTTTAGAAAAATGTGAAGTAACTACAGAATCACCAGCTATACAAATTATAATAGTACAAGGATTAAGAAAGGTTAAATTGTTAAAAAATAAGTAAATATTACTAGTCATTCTGAGAACAGCTTTATTAAAAATTGGAACAAATTTGATCTGTGGGTGAATATTGTGCATTCATACTTAATTTAGGTTATTTTAATTGGATTCTGGGAAAACTAGCCTTGGTGTGAGTGTGTGTGTGTCTGTGTCTGTGTGGGTCATGCAGTGGACTGGCATCCTGTCCAGGGTGTACTCGGCCTAGAGCCCATTGCTCCCTGGAATATGCTCTTGCTTCCTCCTGACTCTGAACTGGAAAAATCAGTTAGAAAATGAATGGATAAAACATTATGCAGCACATCAAATCTATAGGACAACTAAAAAAAGGTACATTATTACTGTAACATATCTGATGTACATCACCCCCCCCCCCCCCCCCCCCAAACCCCCCAAAATCACAACATTAAAATCAAGTATTTTAAAATTTAATAAGAATCCGACACTTACTGTAAATAGCGCTTTTCTGGACACTCCACTAATAGCGCTTTAGAGGTAATGGGGACTCCCCTCCACCACCATCAATGTATAGCTCTCACATGGATGATGTGACAGCAACCAAATTATGCACAGTATGCTCACCACAGCTATCAGTGGGGAGGAGAACAGAGTGATAAAGCCAATTCATTGATGGTGATTATTAGGAGGCTATTATTGGTAAAGGCCGAAGGGATATTTGGCTACGAAACCGGGCTTACACCCCTACTGTTTTGAGAAATGCCCTGGGATTTTTAATGACCACAGAGAGTCAGGACCTCGGTTTAACATCTCATTCAAAGGACGGCGCCTTTTTAAAGTATAGTGTCCCCATCACTATACTGGGGCATCAGGACCCACACTGACCACAGGGTGAGCACTCCCTACTGGTCACATTAACAACTCTCCAGCAGCAACCTTAGCTGCCAGGTGGTTGCCAGTTGTGAGTTGTGATATAGCTACTGACTTTTATATCAATTTTCTTGTTGGTAGTGACAAACTTAACTCTTAATCCTCACCTCTAAAAGACATTTCTCTGTCATTGATTTTTTGTATTCACTCTTTAGTACTTAAGAAATTACAAATGTGTGCACAGTGTTTTGGCATCATGTACTAGTTCAAGTAATAGTTCTTCATTGGGAACTGCTTTTTACAAAACCAATGGTTAATTGCTTTTTTATGCGTTTCTATTGAAACCTTATTGTTTTAGGATTCAGGCTAACACCTTCCATATAATGTTCCCATTGATAGGGTTACAAATCAGTGTGATTGTGGGCCTTCACAGAATTATAACGTCTATAATGGATAGTGTTGGAAATTATACACTGCCTTTCACCACATTACAGGAGTGTTATGCATTAGTCTTTCAGCTGGTATTCCATTAGGTGACTTCTGAACTGACACCTGATGAATGCTCCACAGCCAAAATTGTCTCTTTTCTTTACAGGATGGAATAAACCTTTACTTGTTTCTCTGCAGCTTATGCATGCTGACACAGCTACCTACTTTGACTTCTGAACTTTGCACATAGTGTAACATAATTTAAATACCAGTTATTACATTATCACACCATTCGATCCTACCCATTCTATCTTTAGGAGGTGGGAACTGCTGAACTGGAACACCAGGCAAAAACCACCATCAACATGGGAAAATATGCAAATTCAACACAAAATATGCCACAGTCTGAAATTGAACACAGCATTATCCACCAAACAACACAAAAAAAACTGTAATACCCCCTAACTTAAAATAAACTCATAGTAATTACCTGAGGAACATAATGTTGTTATTTATATTGTACTGTACTGCAGTAATTACTTTAGTGGCAAATAATAATTAACAGCGTAAAATATGTCAGTTTAATACACCACAGTTTTTGTCACAAAATCCTGCAATACTGTATGTGTTATGTCTCTGCCAGGTTTTTATCCAGGATAAAATGTCAAATTGTTAACACTTGGTTGCAAAGAAGTGAAGTAATAATTACCTTTTGTTTGATAGTGACAAAGATTAGTAGTACAAAACACTGACATGTATTTTCAGAATGAATATAAAATAATATGGAAGCCTAATTTTTTTTAAAGCAAAATATAATTTTGCCTAAGATTTGACCTTATACAGTTACCTTATACAAATTGATTCATATTTATTGCAAGAAGCTGGGGTTAGTTTTTTCAGAAGGTCTGCTTAACCTGAGTGGTGTGCCTCTCTGCTCTGGGTACCCAAGCAGTCACAAAGCAGATCAGTCCACCGAATCTTCATGCACTCACAAAACAAATGAATTTACGAATAACGCTGAGGTACAATATGTCCATTATTAATTAGCTGTCATTCATGTTCATCACTGGTTATCATCCGGTAACCAAGTAGTCATTTATTTCTTAAGGAAAAAGAGACACTGAAACTATAATATTAACATTTTAAAAGTGAGAGCAGTTAGCCAGTGAGAGCTGTGCAGAGAGAAAACAATGTCAAATGAGTGCTAAACAAGATATAAGAAAGAGTCATTGATAACAGAAAAGAAAGAATGCCTTTGAGCAGAGTGTAATGTCATTGTAAAGAACTTTGACAAATGCACATACAGTAACATACAGTGCCTTGTAAAGGTATTCACTCCCACCCAAAGATGTCCTATTTTGTTGAATTACAAATGACCATATTGAACAGTGTCAGTAAAGGCTGCAAAGAAATGCTCTTCCAGCCCTTGAGCTATAAGTTTCATTCTAATAATTTCACTCTTTTAAGGTAATATAGCACATACTAAGTGATCAAGTTAGCTTTCCATTCATCCATTCTTCGAGTGTCAGAAAGCTGCATGCTTCTGAGTATTATGTGGCATTGGTATAACTGCTCAGTCCTTTCCTACCATTGGGTTGGTGAGTCTCTTCAAAATAAAATAGAAACCGTGATCTGGTTTTGGCATTGTAAAACATTTAGTCATACAGTTAGACATGATGTATAATTGTAAGAGCTTTTCTGACACGTTTATTGAAAATCTGCATTGGTTAATACATGCAGGAGAATCCCCTCATATTTTGTGATTCATAGTTTCTCTTCCTAGAAAAGATCACCAGGTGAGCAGAACCATGAGTCAATGCTTTCAGTCTAACACAAGCTAGACATTCATTTGAGTACATTTAATATGGCCCTGTGGTCAGATCTGATTGAAATCCATAAGAAGCGTACGTACCCATCAGTGGAAAATCTGACACAATGTATGAAGTCATTTAATTAACTGTAACATGATCAATACTATTATGCAAATGAAACGATTGCAGGATTTAGGTCATGGTTAAACCCCATCCTGTTTCCACTGACAGTCTGTTCAGATAGAATTTGTATTATTTGTGATCATTTGGACAGTATATAAATCCAGTAACAAGCATAAGACCCCTGTATTCTCTTTTAATTTAAATTTGGTGTTTTAGTTGGAATCAATTACTGTATGCTTATACTGAAGAAACTGTGTCAATGATTGGTGCTTGTGCTTGTACCTCTCATACTATTATTAGTAGGAAGGTTTGGAAATAAGTCAGGTGACAAAAGTATGAGCGTAGTGCTGAATAAACTTGGGTGGTTTGTTGTAATGAAAATATATATTTTTTTAAATTAGGGTGCCATATCACCCTGTAACTCACAACTGGCAACCCACTGAAGCTAAGCAGGTGTGAATCTGGTCAGTATCTGGTGAGACCTCCTGAGAAAAATTAAGGTAGCTGCCGGGAAGAGTGTTAGTGGGGCCAGCAGGGGGTGATCACCCTGCAGTCTACGATGGGGTCACTATATTGTAAACAGGCGCTGTCCTTCGGATGAGAAATTAAACCGAGGTCTTGATTTTGTGGTCATTAAAAATCCCAGGGCGTTTCTCGAAAAGAGTAGGGGTGTAACCTTGTTGCCGTGGCCAAATTTCCCTTTGGCCTTTACCAATCCCCATCTATGAATTGACTTCATCACTCTGTTCTCCTCCCCACTGATAGCTGGTGTGTGGTGAGCGTACTGGTGCACTATGGCTGCCGTTGTATCATCCACAAGAGGGCTGCACATTGGAGGTGGTGGAGGGGAGTCCCCATTACCAGAAAAGCCCTATATAAGTGTATGGAATTATAATTAAAAATTAAAGATAATTGTGTGTTTCATCACCTGTGTTACATAAATATTACTGAAAAATGTTAGTTTTTACTTTTATTTTACTTTAGTTTCTCTTTTGTAGAGAAGGTGCTTTAAGAAATGATCAAGTCTTTTAGTTGAATGAAACACACTTAGGGACTTAAGTGAGAAAAACAGAAGGTTGTGTGTTCCCACTATCAATTCTTTTAATAATGTGCTTATTAAGTAACTCTTTTTTAAACTTGAACTTAAACTTAAACTTGAACTTCTACATATCTTGCTTATTGGATTTTACTAGCTAATGAGCTAATAGTATATTGAAAGAAGAAGTGATAAGTGCCTCCTGTTCTCATTAGTTCCATTTGTTTCCTCTTGTTCATGTTTCACTGTATATTCTGAAATGTCAACACTGTTAATTATGTCAATACCTTGAAAAGTTTGAATACTTTAATCAAGTCCCCCTTTGTCTTCTATTTTAAGACTACAGAAAGATTTACTGTAGTTTTTCAGAGTCTCTGAGTAGAACATTCCTGTATGCCTGGGGATTGAAGTGATTACTCTTCCCTGAACTGTCGCCAGAGCAGAAGCATCTTTTTCGCTTTTGTGGAGGCCAAAATTGTACACGATCTTCTAAATGAGAACTTACTAATGCATTGCACAATTTTAATCACATTACTTGATCATAGTTCCATACATTTAGCCGTATACACTAACGTTCTGTTTGCTTTTTTTGTTGCTACCCTGTGTTGTCTAGAAGATGACAATGATGTACCGGCATGTACTGTAACACTCCATTTTTGTTCATGTAAAATCACAAATAATAGATTTTTGAACTGTTTTTCTTGACCTAAATCTTTTTGAGTATCTTTTAGATTCCAGTGTTTGCAATTCCTCTTAGTTTTTATTTATTAGTTTTACTAATTTCATTAGTTTAATAATGGTACCAGAATTTAGATAATTGATTAATTAGAATAATACAGTTCCATGTGATACTGTGCTAATTAAATCATTCCAGTGAGGATATACTCCCCCTATGGACACTCTTTGTTTACTATTCATTATCACTTCTCAAGATAATTAAATCTGTTATGAGGAACTATAATGAAGGTGACTCAAGTATGCCTGGATAAATAGCCATGTTTGTGTTTGCACTCCTGATCCTTCATCTGCTGAGTTAAGGGAACTCGGTGACTGGCCAGATTAGAAATTTCTAGAAACCCCCAGAAATGCCCTGAAACTGCCACGTGGTAGGATTTCAAAAGAGATAGCAAAGAAGTGTGTAGGAAGAGAGTGTCCAAGTTTGTGAAGTAGGAGCCAGGAATAAGCAAGCTACAGCTGACCATCTAACTTCATTTACAGCATGTCCACATTTTAGTGCGTTAAAGTGATGAAGATTAGTATCTGATGAAAGAAGTGGATAGGTTCTGAGAACTCACTCCTATTGTAAATAACTGAAAATAGTAGTTTTTGAATGTTTGTCTTTTACGTTTGTATTTGTCTAATAAATATGTGTGTACCAAACATGTCCCTGTTTATTTTTCCATCATTAATTTGCTAATGAAAGATAAAAGAAATCACATGACATTGTAGGATGTGTTATCTTCCTCATATTAAAGCTGGTGTCAAAATGCTTTTCCAACTCAGATTTTACACTGTTTATTTACACTACTCCCCTGTCAATCTAGTTTTCAATATTATACGATCTGTTTGTATCCTTTACTGTTGTTACTTGGTTAAAGTTTTATAATATATTTTTTTATAAAAATTAAATTAGTCAAGCAAGACTTTTCAAAACCCATGCTGAATTTCTACAGTAGTCATTTTTCCATAGATGATGCTTTGATTTACTGTAGTTCAAATTATCGTTTCCATAAAAAATGGTTGTAATCCTGATAGGTGTTCAGGTAAACTGATTCATGATGTATGCTACAATTTTACTTGTCTTAGTTGCGACACACTTAGCTCTATTTCTCATGATAGTGTGGATCAGTCCCAGGCCAATATTTCATCTAAGGGCTATGGGAGAGCAATGGCCAATGTGACCCCTTTCTTCAAGAGCAGTGGACAAGTTGGATGGAGAACATCACTTATCAGTTGAACATAAGGAAGGATACAAACATGCCGTGTGGTACATCTACTGTAACTCGTTTGGTTTCCAATAGCAAATTGATCTGAGGATCTTATCCAGTAGTTTCTTAAATGATTCCAGTCAGGTTGCCTGATTCACCTTTTACAACACTGAATATCTCATGGTCCATTTGAATTCAATCATATCATACAAATTACATTCCAAATTTAGAAATTACAGAATATGAAACATCTCAAAAGAAATGTTTAATGATTTTTTAAAGTAATGTTGTGTCTGCTAAAATTTAACTGGCTTTCTGTTTATTTCAGGACTCTGCAGTTTTTCTTTATTGACTATTGTTGAAAGAGACTGATTAACCTTAAAATCAGGTGTTTCCCAGACACCTCCTTTGTCTTACTGGCTTCTTCTTTTTGTTTAATAATAGTTTTCATCCAGTAAAGTCCATAGATGTTCTCTAGATTCTTCTGTCATCTGTCATGAGACTGACATTAATGAAATCTTTCATTCTGTGAATTCACTTGATATAGCTGTTTTATGTACTTTTGAACGTGGAGGCTCATGACCATTTTAAAAATGACTTAAGGTGATTGGAGAATTATGAAAAGGAACATAAAACATCTGGTCAAATCCAGTACAATTTGATTTAGTATCATACTGTATAGATACAAATATGAGTTTCTAGTCTCAGGTTTTCTACTGCATTGTAAGAGAAGAAAACCATTTTTAGAACAAAAGCATAAAAATACACAACCGCCCTCATAGACCATTTATATTATATGATTTGGTAAATATGGACCTTGGCAAAGAAAGCAAGCAACCTGGAGAACAGGAATAGGATCACAGTAAAGATGTACTGTATTTTTTAAAATTGCTTTAATTTAAGGGGATTTCAGGCTCTAGGGTAAAAGTTTTTCTTATATAGACCTCTTTAAAAAGCTTCTTGGGGATTCAGTCTTTAACTTGTTGCTTTTGTTTCACACTGACTTGTAAGCTTTCTTACATTACAAATTCATTAGACCAGTTAATTAAAGCTTGTGAAAATCAATGGGTATGGATCTAACACTTGGACACTTGTGATCTTATCAAAGTTCTCTACATCTTTCTCTCTCTTCTTCTAGAATGCTATTGTCCCCTTTAAAGAATTGTGTGGCCTTTCTCCTGTGGCTAATCTCATGCAGTGCATTTTGGCACTGTCCACACGCTTAATGAGTGGAGACAACACACCCTTTGTGGTATTCAACCTCAAGGACCAGTATCCGAACATGGAGCCACAAGGACAGATTCCGGAGATGCTGAAGAAAATTGTGACTGCCTATGATGCTGTAAGTACAGCTGTGTTTTCCTGTCAAATGTTTTTATTTTCCTAGTCTTAACTGAGGCATTGAAAATTAATGTGAATGCATTTTGTTCAAAGCAGTGTTCATGCATTTTCACCTCAAAGAATTAAACCATTTCCTAGAACGTTTACAAGTTATTATAAGATTACCTGATCAGATTTAAGATTCAGTATTCTTGTGCACTTTTTCATTCTTTGAAGCTTCCTTTCGGATGATTTGTAAATACGAAAATGTGATATTCCTGGGGGACCTCCTGAAAAATCACCTGCAGCACAAGCCAGATCATGTCACTGATTACAGAATTGCCAGTATTTGTATTTCTGATACAAACTCTTCCCCTCTCACCGGAGGAGCCTTAATATCATAGTTTATGACACAGTCTTGCATGTCCTCAAAGCCATATTGGAAGAACTGTCCTCAGGTACTGTATGTTCAATGTCTATATTTCTTAGCGACTGAAATATCAAAAAACACTCATCCAAGATCCAAGAATGATAATTACTTAATTTCTAAAGTGTGTCATGTGAAGTGAAAGTGACATGTTGCCTTGGCAGCTGCAGCTACAGCTGAGGGAAGTGAGTGCTAATGAGCCTCAGCTGTAAGAGGACTTTTAAGAGTTTGCCGAACACTTCCTAGAGCGGAGACCAAGCAAGACCTCAATCCTTAGGTAGCTGCAGGCAAGAGCGGACCCAAGATCAGGTCTCCTGTACGCAGTGAGAGGGCCGAGCCTAAGCAGGACAGCAGTGGGTGTGAAGTGTGAGCTGGTGTGAGCGTCTGCCTAAAGAAAGAGGGTTAGCCGATTATCAGGAGAGAGAGTGGGGTCTATCTGACTCTGGTGGTGAGCATGCGTTGGTAACAGAGTCGGGGCGCCGCAGATGCTGTTTAGTGTGAGAACGCAGCGGTGGCTGGGCACAAGGAAGGGTGTGCTTGCAGCTGCATGAGTGTGAGAACGTAGTGGTGGCTGGGCACGAGAGTAGAAGTGCTTGCAGCTGTGAAGGCACAGCCTAGGGCTTGTGAGTGAGACGCCAGAGAGGTTGTGTGAGTGTTTAGGGAAGGTGTGTTGTGGCCAGAAACGAGGAAGGCCCAAAACAGAAAGAGCATCATCAGGTTAAGCTTGTTGGGTATCGTGAGTGAAGGGCTTGGTGAGGTGAGGGACCCCTAGATGACAGCGACAAACGCAAGAGTCTGAGCTGAGGGTCCAGAGGTCCATGACCTGCACCTTGCCACGATGAGAAAGCCACACAGATCATCAATCTCGGAGGAGAGGCTGTATAAAAAGTAAAATAAGAGTGAAAAAGTTTTCCAGCAGTTTATTTTCTCATGTCTGGAGCGAAGAACACGCCTGTTTGTACCCAAGGTGGTAGCCTCACATTATGTGTTAACAGGGTGCCTAGTTTGATATTTACATTATTTCAGATTAAATGACCTTGTACAGCTGGTGAAATGTGCTCTTTTGTAGCACACTGGAAGCTTGTTAAGACAGTACAAGGTATAAGATGGAGGAGCCCGAGCCTATTCTGGCATCAGTTGGTGCAAGGCAGGGTACACCCTGGATGAGACACCTGTCGCGGGGCACAGACATGGACACAAACATGCACACACTCACAGCAGGGCCAATTTTCCCAGAAGATCTACCAGTGTATTTTCAGACTATGGGAGGAAGCCATAGTACCTGTAGGAAACACAATGTGAACATGGGAAGAACATACAAACTCCACACAGATAGTGCCCCAGGTCTGGAATGGAACCAGGGCTCAAGCACTGCAAGGCAGCAACACTAGCCACCTCAACACCATGCTGCCTCTTTCTAGATTGAATTTTCTAGATTAATTAAATTAAAAATGATTTAGTAATGCCATTGCAGTTTTCTTTTGACACACACATTATAAAGTTTTACATTATTTTAAGAGAAGGAGAAGAAATGAAACCAGGCTCATCTTACAGTTGTAGTGTGCTTTATGATGACAGGATGAGATATAACTTGTCTGCCCAAGAATAATAATGGATGAGGGGTTGCTTTATAGGGGTCCTTATAATTTAAAAATTTTTGAATTTGAATCTAGATATTTGAAATGTTATCATACAGCATAAAACAAGGACATAAACGCAACCTTCGAAAAAGCATATTAAGAACAGTCTTGTTCCTGCTTATATACTGTATACTGGAGTTTTGCAACAGCAACTTAGACATTGTGTCACCTAAATTTAACTAAAATAATAATTAAAAATAAAAAGAACTTTAATTGTAGCTGTACGATAGCAGAGCCTTCTCTTGCTATAAGGTGTTTTTGTATTCAGAAATAACTTTTAAATTATTTTACTTATTCTTGTAAGCTCTAGGATATTTTAGGGGTTTATCATTAAATGGTAGAAACTTTTCTAGTGTCTTTACCAGGTGTTGTTTATGTCAATTTGTTTGTGTTTATGTGTACAGTGAATATTGTTTTAATTGCAATTATACTTAGCAATTTTATAATGCTAAAGCAATGGAGAAAAAGAAAGCCTTATTTACAGATGTGATTTGTATTTTAGAGCAAAAAAGGACTTAAAAGTAGGATTTTTCCTCCCTGGTTTATGATCGGTTTTATGACACCTAAGTGATGCTTACTGACATATTGGTCTAATCCTGTAATTGAATAGGCAGAAACAATAGATTAGTTTGTGGGTCATATCGTTAAGCAATATATTTGTGACCAACATTTTTTTCCTTTTGCTTAAAAACATAGTTAGAATGCTTCACAGCTTCTGAATATATGAATATTCTGAGGTGCATGTTAATTTTTTGAAGAATTTATCCATCTTATGTATGATCTAATAGACTATTAATTCAACAGACATGTTTTTTTG